CTGAGCTTGGTTGTTTTCTTGCAAACGTTTCATTACCCGGCTAGGTAACATCTTCAGTGCAACCAAACTCAGAGAACCTCAAGGACTCCACAGAAAAGATTTCTGTCAGTGCCATGACAGGACACATGCAGTCCCTTGAGCATCAACTGAGGTTTGTTTCTGGAGTACTGAACCAAGGAAGTGTGCTAAAGAATTAGGTGACTGCTGTTAGTCACACAAGTGTTACTGTGAAGCTTATGAATATTCCACTTTCAGTGTGCCTTAGGGCCTCCAGGTCTGAAATAGAAAAAGTTAAGGACAGAGTGTGTGAAGAATGGGTTACATTCTACATAGTGGGGAATGGGAAGAAGGGTCAATGGCCACATTTTGTTATATTCAGTTGAATACGGCCTGATTGCATTTGTAGGTGGGGTGTGATTTGGGGGGAAGATTGAGGAAGGTATTTTTGTTTTAATTGTGATGGCCCTGTTTTAGGGTTTACACTAGTCTTTATCTGTTTCCAATCCAAATATGGCAGGAAACAGTGATGTCATTTTTCAGCAATCATGGTCAAGGGAGGGTCTGGGGAATGCACAAAGGGAATTGGGAGGCCAAAAGTGGCCCACCTCTGGTATATATTTTTGAGATAAAGGATTGCCATAAGGATACTGAGTAGATTAAGTATATGCTTCTTTTAAATAACAAGACATGCTGTGACAATCCGAATTGAAGGAAGGTGTCCTACAACCTTCTTTTAGAGAAAAACTCTTAGTAGGATTCCTGAGAGGCACCAGAGAGCAGGAGCAGGGAACTCATTCAACACTGAGAATCACAATCAAAATGCATGCGTGCTTCATCTCTCACAGTTGCATAATTACAATGGCTAGAAAGCCAGAGGTGCTAAAAGTATTGCACTTTGGGTGGTAACTTTTTTTTTTTTAACAATAATTGTGGCACAAACACAATTAAAAGAGGGTAGGATTTATCCTTCCAATTTAGCTAAAGATAGCCATGACAAAGTTCCACTGAAAACAAAGAGATTTCTCATAACTATCTTTTTTGACTGGTTTTCAAGGAGATGGCGTTACAATTCACTTTTTCTGAATTAGAACCCATGGGATTTGAAGTCAACAACAAATTCAGACTTATTACTTGCCTTCTGATTTCTGAACTCTACACACACACCACTCTCTCAGTAACCCCAAAGGCCAGAGAGTGATGATTTTATGCACTTTCCAGAACGTGAAGAGTTGAGCAAGGCCACTAAAAGGTACCATAGAGGGACCAACGTAGATGGCTAAGTTCTATGTTGCTATCTCTGGCACAAAAAAGGTACAGTTGCTGTATGTGGACAAACTGTGCACATGTACGTACAAACAATTTTAATCTTTTGTTTCAGCAACAAGAAGGACGTTTCACTTCAAAAAAAGGCAGGGTTAGTGTGCTCTATAATGCAACGCTTGCAATGGCGCTTGACAAACCGCAAAGCTTCCACCGAAATCTCACAGTCCTGAACGTTCAGCATTTGCAGGTCAAAGCAATTGGCTGCTACAATCTGCAGGCCTTGTCCAGTGACACTTTCGCAGGACTTCAGGCTCAGTCGCTTCAAGTTGAAGCAGTTCAGAGCCAGAAACTCCAAGCCAATGTCGGAGACCAGAGGGCACTTCCCAATGTCCAGTGACTTGAGTTTTGTGCAATTTTTGGCCAGGTACTCTACTCCGTGGTCTGTGATGCCCTCACAGCCCCGCGCGTTGAGGTAGCGCAGCTTGCTGCAGTACTTGGTAATGTATCGGATGCCCACATCAGTGATGCGGACACAGTGGGCAATGCTGAGGTACCGCAGGCGGAACTCCAGCTTTGCAATCTCACGCATTCCAAAGTCACTGACAAAGCGGCAGTCGCTCACACTCAACTCCCTGATGGAAGGGCAGTAAATCATCAGGTAACGGAGGCCTTCATCAGTAATGCGGATGCAACGACGCAAGTAGAGATGTGTCAGCTGAGTGCAGTGGGTGGCAATGGTGTGCAGTCCTTCATCCTCAAGGACAAAGCAGTCACTCATGTCCAAGTAGCGGATAGAAATCTGTTTGCCATGTAAAGGAGACAATTTGATGGAAACTTCACGGGATAAACTGATGCAAGTCACTTTGGAACAACCTATATTTAAGAGGGGGAAAAAGACTGTTAACAAAGATAGTCCACTTCCCCTTTACATAAATGACCTGAGTGGTACAGGATTTTCATCCCAGGAATAATGGATTGGGGTTTACTCAGCCAGCCCTGGAGAGCAAAATTCTGCCTAAATTCAGTAGTTAAACCAGCAATGGCTAAGCAATGATTGCATTTAAAAAAAAAGATGAAAGGTCTCTGAAAAACTTACCAGATTTGAATCAAATCTGATGCAGCTCAATTTAAAATAAAACTATATAATATTCCCTTTGTTGATCTGCATGTAATATTTAGGTAATATCTCTAGCTGATGTCTACCAATTTTAGATGATGTCACACCTGAATTCCTGGCCTGTATAGAGCTTTCTTCATGCTTTATTGCGGGAACTGAGACATGGCATCACCTTGGATAGCAAAATTTACTTCTGTCCTGAACCACTGTTTGGACAAGAAGTTAGTCTCTAAAAATACAGAAACTGGCTATTATTTACACAAAATCCATGATTTTGGGCTATGAGAATGAGAAAAAGAAAAGTCTGATTTACATGCTGATGAGATTCTTAGAGAGGGGCAGATGACAGATAGGGCCAATGATAAAACTGACTTTTGCTGTCATCTGGGAAGGGAAGGGAAGGGAAGGGAAGGGAAGGGAAGGGAAGGGAAGGGAAGGGCGACCTTTTTCAGTCACAGAGTCCACTGGAGACAATATCTTGAAAGCAAGACTCTGGTAGAGGGTCTCGTCAAAACATGCCACTTTTTTTTGTCCTCCAAGATAACTACCACCCCAATCCATCCCTCCTGTTTCTTCCCCACTTTCCCTCCTAAGAATCTCAAAAGAGAAATAATGTGGGGTAGGGAAGACCCTAAGACTGAAACAGAAAGAAAATACACACAGTGGTGATGATTATAATCGTCATTATCTGATGGCATTTTCTCTTTTTTCATGTTCTTTATTCATATAGACACATCCATCTATTCAGTCTTCTCCCTATTTTGTTTCTCTCTCTTTTTCGTCCTCCCTCTAGTACCCCAGTTTTGCTTCTCTTCCATCCTCCATGAAAGTATTGCCAGTTCACTGGGCACCTGCAGACCACAGCAACCTTGTTGCTATTTTTGCCAGAGGAAAACAAGAGAGAAACAGACCAAAATGCAAATAGGCAGAATCACAATGACACTTGGAAGTCCAACCATAAAACATGTGAGAGTCATGAAGCATGGCCTTTCCAAAAACAATGTGCTGCTTTAGTTGATGTGCTCCTGAGTTGGTACTCCAAACTTATACTTACATTTGCCTCCTAATCTTTCTCTTTTTCTCCTTCTGGAATTAATAGAAGATGGCAGTGGCTGAGTATAGTAAGACCAAGTTTGGCTTCCCAGTCTGTGTGGTCTGCAAGCTGTAGGCTACTTCCTGAAGCAATGTCAGAAGGTGAAATCATTTTCTGGCATGAGCTGAACTTGTCTGATGGATACTGCAGAATTCAGGGCTATTTATGTTCTGAATCCATTTAGATAGTTTCCAACCCACCACCTTTTACAGACTCTACAGTTTAAAATATATTTACACTATTCTATGTCTGGAACCATTTTATCTACTCCTAATAATAAAGATTAAAAAAACAACAACAGGCTCTTAGCAACAGTCTATAGAGAAAATGTAAAAGATTTAAAGTTTCAGAGAACTTTGAAACTTTGAATGAACTTTGCCCAGTTATGAGATAATGGGTTGCAGTCTAGTCCATCCATATAGGTAGTCTGCTTAAAACTGAACGAGACCGTTTAAAAATGTGGAAAATCTGATATCCAACTTTTCTGTGGTTTTGACATATTGGTATGACTTCTACGATGCATTATTCATAAGATCGCACAGTGCATTTACAGATCAAAACAAGGTCTCAAATGAGGTCTGGGAAGCATTCTAACAGGTAAGTTGTCATGTTGATACTAACAAAATCCCATTTTATATGAACATCTATTCTATACCAAACATTTGGAGAGTTAAAGCCAGTTAAAACCAAGGACTTGTCCCAATTCATGTATACAGGATTAATCCTCTGTATACACACTTGGAAATATACAAGTGCAAGCTATACGCATATACCTAACACAATATTTATTTAATGACTACACTATAGTTATACACTCTAAAGATCCTTCATTCATCTACTCCCTTTTATCTTTCCCTCTTTCTTTCTAACATTCTCTTGTATACTTTCATTGGAAAGTTATGTATGTACTATATTCAAGTCTGCTTATTTAGCAGAATTCTCATTCCAGTGGTTGCAGAAAAGAATGCAGATGTGATTCACAGAGATCCTTTCCCCCCCCCCCGAGAAATAACTTCTTGCATGATGTAAGAACAACACATTTGAAATTTAAAATTCTGAGTATGCCAGAAGGGTGGCAGCTAGGGAGAACTCTGTTGTTGGTATGGCCTTTGAGTCAATGTTGACTCCTGGTGACTGTATGGATGGGTCTATGCAGCCTTCTTGGTAGGATTTTTGGAAGTACTTTGTCAATACCTTCTTCCAGAAAGTTTTTCAACTTCCCAAGTAGGGCTGGGAGAAAATGATTGGTCAGAGTCACCCACATGGCTTCAGTGCCTAAGGGCAGACTAAAAGTCAGGCCTCCCTGCACTTAGTCTAGCATCTTTAACTGCTACACCAAACTAGCTCTCTGTGGAAAACTCTACATATATTTAGTATTTTACAAACATCTGCTATATGTTGGAAGAAAAAGGGTTGTATGTATGTGTCCCAAGGCCAGCTATACATATGCATACTTACAACACTTTCCCAATGTTAGAATACAGTGGTATCCAGGGATAAAGATCTCCATGTCTCATGTCTGCTCATGGAAGTATTTTATTTGTTGTGTATAAACTCTGTAATCCATTTCCCAGACAGAGTTTTCTGTTGTCTTTATGTGGCTTTGTACCTAGAGGTTTATGCTGCTAAACATGTGTTCTTTCTAAACCAATTGGATGAGATCTTAAGACATGCTGAATCAAAGTTCTTGTAGGCAGTGACATGAATTTATTTCTTCCCCCTTCCAAAACCAGCAACTGCTCATGACAGCTATTCTTAAGTCCTTCTGGTTTTTCTGTAGGGCCATTTTCATATCTCTATGAAACCGTCATAAGGACCTGATGGTTTGGGAATCAATAGTAAATGGATGGTGATATACATTGGTATATGACGCTGAATTTTTTTCTACCCTATAATATGGCAGTAAACCAGACTCAGGAAACTGCAGTTGCACTGAATACAGAGTCCGCCTACTGGCAAGAGACTGAAATTAGGCTGCTGAAATGCGTTAAAATAATCTGGAGAGAGAGATGGGGTGGGGGGAGAGAGAGAGAGTGAGATTTTGAGGGAAATAATGTCTGTATCCCTGGATGCATGTCACATATATACTAGCCAGTTTGTGCATTCTTCCCAGCAGAGGGCAGTATTGCTTGCCCAATAACATCACATTGCGAATATCAGAGCATGAATTCCACAGGGGTGACTGTTGCTGCGAACATAACAAAGTGCTTTGTGGCAAGAAAGGCTACCAATTTTAGAGAGGTCAGATTATGTCTCTGGGACAGCATAGAGACCTGAGGATAAAAGCTTACTGTTATTGACTTGTCTTTCTTTTTAATCTGAAAATTCCTTGCAAGTAGAAAATGGCAGATCCTAAACTAATCCTAGCTGATGTTGTCTTTCACTTCCTCCAACCCAGAAAATTAAACTATGACCAAAACTGACTATTCTCTTTATATGCAGACTAAATGTATCGATAAAACTTGGTATTATTGCTGAAGTGAGCGCTAGTTACAGAACAGTTTCCACAGGGATAGTAGTAACTCTTCTTGTTTATTGGTTTATCCTGCCTTTCCTTCAGGACCTCCCAGAAGTATTTAGGGCAGGGTTCCTCAACCTTGGCAACTTGAAGATGTGTGGACTTCAACTCCCAGAATCCCCCAGTCAGCAAGGCTGGCTGGGGAATTCTGGGAGTTGAAGTCCACACATCTTCAAGTTGCCAAGGTTGAGGAATCCTGATAT